CATAGTGGTGGTAATAGGACTGTTGATATTACATCTTAGAAGGAGGGAAATGTGTCATAGACCCTCACCTGGGCCTGCAGCCATCGCTGTCTCCTGTCTCAGTTCCAGCTGCTTGTGAGCTTGGACTAAGGGGGAGTGATGCTAAGCTATATAAGAAGTAGAAGGCGGATTGAAGGTTAGCTTTCTAATGATGGGTTGTCACATGCTATGATGGGGCTTTTGGTGGTCAGTTGTCTTCCTTAGGGTTTCTATTGATGGATGAAACACCATGACCAAAAGCAATTAGGAGAGGAAAGAATTTATTTTAATCCATATAACTGTACATCATCAAAAGCAGTCAGGAGAAGAGTTCAAATAGGGTAGGAACCTGGAGGCAGGAGCTGGTGAAGAGGCCATGGAGGAATGCTATTTACTGGCTTGCTCCTCATGGCTTTCTTACCCTTCTTATGATACCCATGACCAACTGCCGAGGATTGGCACCACCCCAATATACTGGACCCTCCCACATCAATTATTAATTAAGAAAATGCCCTTCAGACTGATCCTCAGACCAGTCTTATGGATACATTTTGTCAACTGAGGTTCCCTCCTCTCAGTTATGACTCAAGCCTGCGTCAAGTTGACATAAAACTAGCCAGAACACTGTTTGAGTCCTCTGAGATCTTGTAAGCAACATCTAGACATGGATAGAAGTATATCTGCTGGAGAGTCACAGACAATGGTGAGCTGCCAGATGTGAATGCTGGAAGTCAAACTTCGATCCTCTGCAAGAACAATAGACAAACTTAACTGATGATTTATCTCTCCAGCTCCCACCTTGTTTGTTGAGATAGAGTCTCTCACTGGCTTAGAAACTGCCAAGAACAAACACCAGAGTCTTCCTCTCTAGACCCTGCCTCCCTAGTGCTGAAATAACAGGCATGAACCACCACACCTATTTTTTTTTTAACTTAAAATTTAAAAAGAAGCTGGGCGGTGGTGGCACACATCTTTGATCCCAGCACTTGGGAGGCAGAGGCAGATGGATCTCTTGAGTTCGAGGCCAGCCTGGTCTACAGAGTGAGTTCCAGGACAGCCAGGGCTACACAGAGAAACCCTGTCTTGAAAAACCAAAAAAAAAAAAAAAAAGTATGTTTTCACGTATTCAATCAAATCCAGAGTTCATGGATCTAGCAAGTCTTACTAGACAGACTTCTCTGAGCAACCTTGGTTGCCATCTTCAGAGTTTAGAATTCCAGATAGGTCACCACACCTGCCTGACATCTATGAGGGTTCTGGGGATCTTAACCCTCCACAGTCACACTTGCAAGGCAAGCACTTTAACCTAATAAACTACCTCTTGAACCCCTTGTTTCACTTATTGAAAAGCTTCAGCTGGCTTCAAACCTTTCTAGGTAATCAAGGTTGACCTTGAACTCTTGTCCTATCTTTACCTCCCAAGTGTTGGGATTACAGGTGTGTGCCATCATATCTGGCCTACTGAAGTCTTAAAAACTTAACCCTTTTCATTCTTTCTTTCGTTTTTTTTTAAGATTTATTTATTTATTTCATGTATGTCTGTACCCTGTCACTGTCCTCAGACACACCAGAAGAGGGAGGGCATCAGATCCCCATTACAGATGGTTGTGAACCACCATGTGGTTGTTGGGAATTGAACTCAGGACCTCTGGAACAGTAGTCAGTACTCTTAACCGCTGAGCCATTTCTCCAGCCTAAAGTTAACCCTTTTCATGTGCACATAGTGCCCTAGGGTTAGGACATAGACCCTTGCTCCAAAGAATGAAAAAAAAATTATATGAAACAACTTGAAAAAAAAATCACATTATTATAAATTGTTTCGTTGTTTTGGCCCAGGCTGACATTGAGCACACTAAGCAGTTGATGGTGACCTTGAGGATGGGAGGATGACCTTGAGGATGGGAGGATGACCTTGGGGATGGGAGGATGACCTTGAGCATGGGAGGATGACCTTGGGATGGGAGGATGACCTTGGGGATGGGAGGATGACCTCGATCCTCCTGTCTCCACTTCCCAAATGCTAGAATTTCAGGTGTATACCACCTTTATACACATTTGAAAAATGTTCAGAGCACAGTTTATGATGCAGATTATGAGAAATATCTGGAAGTAGAAATCCTAAAGGAACAGGGGACATCGCCCGAAGTGTCCTGCTGGGATTCTCAGCAGTAGAATCTCCCAGCTACAGGCAACAGGAAGTGAATGCAGAGCTATAAATAGTGACGACAGTTTACAGTACAGGCTGATGAAGTAAGTAAGGAACCATAAACACACATAGAGTGTGGCTGTTAGCTACAAACACTGGACCAAATGCATCTACCATGCAGAGATCAAGGGCTCTGTTTAGGTTGCAGAAACCTTGGCTGCCATGGAAAGGCAAGATGGTATATCAGTTTTGGGGTCAAAGCAAGGCATAAGCCCTTGCTCTTTCACTAGCTGTGTGAGACTGGATGTGGCTCCCCAAATTCACCACACGGCTCCTGGCTGTTCAAGTAGAAGCCAAGCACCCCACAAGCAGCATCTCGCCTCACTCTTTGTGTATTTGTTGGGCCATTATCTTGCCCTTCTCCCCCCCCCCCCCAGGATATTGCCATCTTCTCACAAAAGGGATTATGTATTCAAGGCTGTGGTATCTGATTCACCTGATACCTTCTAGGGGGATGTTGCACCAATCAACATCATGAAAACAACATGTCCAGATAATAACGGAGGCTTTGTTAACTGGATTATGTACTTTGTCTAATTTCAGGGATCACCTTATCTAACCCTCGTAACAATTCCTCAATTGTCCCTGTGAATCTCCTGATCAATGATGGGGATACGTGCTCTTGCTGCTCTCCTGCAGCTAGTAAAGGGGGTGGGAGGGTGGAGGAGGAGGAGGCAGGCTCTGCTCCTACAGTCACCAAGAAAAAATCCACCGGCCAATGGGAGTTTCAGCAGCTGTCTGAGTACCAAAAAGGGAGAGAATCTGTGAGAGGGATAAGCACATTCCAGGCGTGGACCACAGCTTTAGGACAGCCCCAATGAGTACCGAGCTTGGGATGGGGGTTGAAGGAAAAAGAAAGGTTGCAGGTGGGAAAAAGGCTGGTGAGCTCACTGTCTCGGCCTCTACTGGGTCTTAGTGCTGTAGGGGGTCCATGAGTACTCTGTGCAGGGGAACCCAAGCCCCTGCACAACATTCTCAGTGACTAAAACAAGGCAAGCTAAAGCCTAGGATCTTAGACATCAGCCGTGCAATGCACAGATGGCATGGGGTTGCCGGGGAGCTAGGAAGGACACCTGGGCCTATGGAATGGATCAGAGCTGCACAGTAGATCTGACAGCAGACTTGAGCAAGGGGGATAATAACAGAGCAGCACAGATGCAACTTAGTGTAGAGGTTTCAAGTCCATGCAGTGGTTGAGGGGCTTGCTGTGTGGAAAGCCCTGGGTTTGAGTCTTTGCATTGCAAATAAACTAATGACCAGCTGGGTGTAGGGGCTCATACTTATATTCAGAGGTCTGAGGCTAGTAGGCTGCTATGAACTTAGTCCAGCCTGGACTATAGAATGAGACCTTGTCTCAAAACAAAACAAGGATCTGGCCAGAGTGTTTGCCTAGCATGATGAAGCCCTAGGTTTCATTCCCATGCTGTGTGTGTGTACATGTGCATGTGTGTGTTCGTGCATGTCCAGGACTGGAGAGATGGCTCAGCTGGGTAAAGTGCTGGCCATGCCAGCAGAAGGACCTGTTATTGAGAACCTAAGAGAAAATACTGAACACAGAACACAGCGTGCCGAGAAAGCTCTTGGTACCTGTTATTGCTGACCACTCAAGAGCTTAAATGAAAGGGCATCCTCGTAGATCAATACCTTTATGCTCAGGAGCTGTATTCCATTTGCCTCTTTCTTCATGATTTTGCTGGTCCAAGGCTCACATTCTCCAGTAGCCCCATCACACACAATGTTCTGTATACTGGGAGAACTAATGGACGTTCCAGGTCTTTACTCTCAGCAGCTGAGAGGAAACAGGGGCATCCTGTTGACCCCTCTGAGTCAAGGGTCGGATATCCCGCATCCCCAGCATCCTCTTCCCTTGCTCTCAAAGCCAGCACTAGTTTTCCAGCCTTCCGGTGGAATTCAACTTTAACTTCATTTCTTCTAGGTTTCATTCTTTCTCTCACGGCAATGTCTATTAATTTCCTGGCTTTCTCAACCTCTTTCCTTCTCACGGGTCACCCCCAGTCCCCGGCAAGATTGTTCCAGTGGCTTCTCTCTATATTTTCACTTAAGGTGCCAAATTAGCGATCAACAGCTGATTGGAAATATCACTTAAAAGTTCTCTTTATCGAGGACTGTCCAGGAACCCACCCTGTCCCCACCTTCCACCTCCCAGGACCACCTTTCTCTAGCCTCCGATGAAACTGCATTGCTTCCAGAAAACCTGCTTTGATTCCCAGCATGCCACACAGAAGCTTTCTCTGACCAATTACTCCAGTCCCAAACTGTCTTTCTTGCTAGGCGTCCAAGCAAATCTGACTTTGAAGTGTGTCCCACAGTTGTGACTTTGTCTGGCAGGTGTGGGCTCCTGTTTCCTGTGGAATCCTATAACTTATGAGTAAAGGCACACACATTTGTGCCTTTTGCTCAATTCCAGCACCCGCTCAGAATCCTTTCTAGGGTGGGCTTTGTCCCTGGCCTCAGAGTGTTTGTCTCCTGGTTGCCCGCTCTCCAGGAACTTGCCTAACTGCAGAATGCTGTTGCTGAGTTCCTTCTTTCTGGATAAGAGCCCACCGTAGGGTTGGATCCGGAATGCAGGGAACCAACGCCCACTGTTGCGCGGGGGGACCTTGGTGTCGCCCCTCTTCCTACTGCTCGCTGCCATTGGTAGACGGGGCGGACAGGCCCTCCCCCATAGCCCCTCGGTTCTCCTCCCCATTTCCAGGGGTGGGGACGACGGGAGGCGGGAGTTGAGGAGGGACTGCCGAGGGGCGTAGGGTTACATCTCCGCCTCCTCCGCCTGAGCTGCTAAACTGCCGGGATTGCGGGACCACAGTTGGGAAACATGCTGGACGCGAGCGGCTGGAGCTGGGCGATGTGGACGTGGGTGCTGCTGCAGCTGCTGCTGCTAGCGGGACCCGGAGGCTGCCTGAGCCGCCAGGACCTCTTCCCCTTCGGCCCTGGGCAGGGGGACCTAGAGCTGGAGGCCGGGGACGACGTGGTGTCCCCCTCCCTGGAATTGATCGGAGAATTGAGCTTCTATGATCGTTCCGACATCACGTCGGTCTATGTGAGTTGGAGCCGGGTGGGGAGGGAGGCCAGGGTATGCTGGGGGCGCCAGTCCAGAGAGACAGATGTGGAACTTGGGCGTCGCCCTCGGGGACCCGAGTGCTAGCTGTCGTGGTGCGTGGCTCTCCGTTGGGTCTGCGCTTCTAGAGGATCGCGTTGCCGGTCTGTCACCCTAATAGTAAGTCTAGGATGGCATCTGCCTCCAGGATCCACTCATCTCGGCGTGCGTCCTACCAGGACCTGGGAACCTCTGGAAGAGTTTTCCTTCTCTATTCCTTGTGCTTCTCGCTCTCCTTCTGGGACAGGTCCCAGTACCCCGCAGCGCAATGGCTAGATTTAAGTTGTATCCTGTGAGCATGCCTAGGGACTCTGCCGATGGCGAGCTAGAAAGGACAGAGGAACCCTCCTGCTCCGCCCCAGAGTTCAGTGGACAGCCCCTTGCATCTGTATGCGTGGGTTCTGGCTACGTCTTGGCAGAGATTCTGCTCTCTTAGTTGGGTTGATTTCAGAGTACAGAGGTCAGGACTGGGAACGCAGAGCGCCCTGGTGATCCAATTTCCTGTGGCTGTGGTTGTCACCCAGGGGCCCCAGATGAGGAGCAAGACTTCATGACCTTTTAGCTCCCTTGAACCTCCCCAATGCTCGCAGGGCCTGGGTACACTGTTAGCCTGGTCAAGCCCTTTCGTGCTGCTCCGGCACACCATGTGGATTTGATATAAAGCCTGTGTGCATTCCACAAGTGTGTGTGTGTGTGTGTGTGTGTGTGTGTCGGGGGGATACACAGACGGCGTCTGGGGCATGTCCTGCGGGGGATTGGCTATTCTCTCAGCCTGGCCTGGGCAGATAACATGGGACAACACCCACGTGCAGCTTGTCAGCTTTGCCTAGAAAGAATGAGTCACACCCACAAAGAACTCTCACCCTTTACTGGCTGGTTGCCCTGGCCCGAACGTGGGAAGCCTGGAGAAGCCTATAGACTTTAGCATGCTTTGAAATACACATAATGAAATCCTTCCCCTGACCAAAGAAAACAACGTGATGAAACACAATAAAAATATTAAAGCATTTACATCAATTGTATGTAGTATTGAGGCTTCTCCCTCCTTCCCAGCCCCCCTCCCCTTTAGGGATGTGTTAGGGAGGAGTTAGGAATCAAAACCAGGACTTCCTGCATGAAAGATAAGAATTCTACCAACGGCACTACATTCTGGACCCTCTTGTTTCCTTTTAAACCATATCAAGTATAGTGGTCGCCCGAGCAATGAGTTTGGTAACTCTCAAAAAGGGTGGATCTGAGAAGCTATCTGAGGTCTATTAGTAGTGTCTGTCAGATTCCACACGAGGCGAGAAGGTGGGCAGGGGTCATGGTGGTACTTGCCTGAAATCCCACACTTGTGAGGTAAAGACAATTAGATGTGGAGTCAGGCCAGCCTGGACTATGGAGTCTGTCTTTAAAAGCCAGGAAACAGCCTGTGAGGTGACTCACTGGGTAAAAGGCACTTTGTCAATCCTGACAACCTACCCCATCCCTAGGTCCCACATACTGAAGAAGAAAACGGGCTCATCAAAGTTGTCCTGTGTGTCATGGGTTGATTCACCCCCGGCCCTGTTCCCCTCACTCTTTCTCTCAATTTTAAAAACTCCCCGAACAAACAAAGCACCAGACCAAACAAGCCAGATGGAGATAGGGTCAAGAGACTTTAGCCTGATTTAACTCTGGTGCCGGAAGCCACCAAGGAACCAGATGGAGAATATCCTGTGTCTAGCAGACACTCAAGCCTCAAGCCAGCAGTCAGGGAGAAGAAGCGGAAGCCTGGAGACATTGGTTTACAAGGGGAGAGAGTAAAATAAATACATAAACGCTCTGGAGGTAGTGGCTTAGGCTTGCAATTTCAGCACCGAGGAGGTGGCAGTCGAAGGGTCCTGAGGATATCCTGGGGTACAAGAAACTCTCTCAATAAGCAGACAAGATGATTTTGGAGTTCTAAAAATGACAGCTATCCTTAATAATGCTTCAAAGAGGTAACTTCTCAAGTGTGACTTAGGGATCCCTGAGGTCAAGGAATTCAGAAGATGGAGATTATTTTACAGAATACTAAGTTTTTTGCTTTCTTCTTTTCCCTCTTATTTGTATTTTATGTATGTGGGTGCTTGCCTGAATGTATGTCTGAGCACCACATATGTGTAGTACTAGAAGATGACAGAAGAGAGTAGCAGATTCCCTTCTGGGACTGAGGATCCCATCTATGTGCTGGGAATGGGACCTGGGTTAAATGTTCTTAACTGCTGACCAATCCCTCCAGCCCGTTATTTATTCTATTAAGCATGATGAAGAAGAAGAAGATGATGATGATGATGCAGCATCTGGCACATATGTGTGCATGTGTACATATGGGTACATGTGTGGAGCCTAGAGGGAGACCTTAGGAATGGGTTTTCTTCTGTTGCTATGAGCTGCAGGGATAGGATTGAGGTAACTCAAGCCTTCAGGCTGTGAGACAAGAGCCTTTATCTGCTGTGCCATCTTGCTAACCCCAACAGCGTTTAGAATTGAGTTGCTCAGGAATGTATGATGGAGTTCACTAGGGGATGCATGGTACCCACATGTCTGTTCCCACAGGACAAATGTAGAGGCATCTATCTGCCTTCCATATAGTTGGACATCAGGTTGATTTGCAAACATGTGAAGCAAAATCTCATCTCTCTCCAAATGTATTTTTGGTTGGGAATACAATCACCTGCGTTAAAATAATGTTGTTTTTGTTAACATGTAACAAATTCATTATTAAAATGTTGTAAGTATTTAACTTGATCTTTGCTTCCCTTTTCCATATGATTAAATTTTGATTATGGTCTTGGGGGAATCTTCAAAACTGTTAAATGTTTAAAGGGCTCCTGAAGACCAAATGCCCAAGGGATGGCCATATATATATATGAATATGACTATCAAGACACTGAGTATAAGGACAGGAAGAAAGCATTGTTGGGAATGTCTTCTGGAAAAGGCAGGCTCCATGTTGGATACTAGTGCCCTCCTGTGGACCTCATCAGAATCCCTCCCTGCTTTATGATGTGTGATTTCCCCAGAGGAATGGTCCTGAATGGTCATCATTAGAATACAACCAATAAAACCAGTTATTCATCAGATCCCATCCAGGGGCTGAGCCCCATCCAGAGCCTAAAGCACTGGAAGTTTCAGAGCCTTGCTGCCATGACCCATGAACCTTAAACTCCCTGGGTGAGAGTTTTTTAAAACTATTGTAAAGTTGTTCAGAGTAATGAAAACATGTCCTGCCTTTGATTGGAATGTTGTCTCAGTTTACATGCTTGCTATCATGTTGACTGGTCACCCTCATTGGGTGTGTAAGGCAATGAAATAATTTCTAGAACATGATTTTAGTGATTATTAAATTATTTGCCCATGAGTCATAAAGATGGGTAAGCAATTTAGTTATGATTTAATATTTTGATCTGTTTTGTTAAAAAAAAAAACCTTCCATACAGTTGGAAATAGAATATCTTTAGCAACAAAAAGATTATGTGCAAAACAGCTTGCCCTGCAACCGTGAGGACTGGGGTTTGATTCCCCAGAACCCAGGGGAGAAAAGGCAGGAACAGCAACAAGCCTGCAGTCTCAGCACTTGGTGGAGGCCGAGACAGAGGATTCCTGGGTCTTCCTGGTCAGTGTTTCTAGCCTAATCAACAAACTCCAGGTTCAGTGACAGACAGTGTCTCAAAAAATAAGGTGGAAAGTGACTGAACAAGACAACTGATACAGACATCTGGCTTTCAAATGCACATGTGCCTGTACAGACATGTGTATACATGTACATGCAGAAATTCATTATATACAATATACACATATATACTCACGTGCATGAACACATATGAGCACATACAACCTTCCAGTTGTTCATGGGTAGTACTACTTCACTTACTACCTCACAGGACCTTTCATGGACTGCTATCTGAAGCTGCTCAGGTTGTTCCACTCTCAGGGACTCTGGGTCAGGAAGGAAGATGGCTATTTTAGCCTATCATCCAGCTTTAGCTTGGGACTATGATTCCTAGATGAAAGCATGTGCTTCTTCTTCTTCTTCTTCTTTTTTTTTTGGTTGTTCAAGACAGGGTTTCTCTGTGTAGCCCTGGCTATCCTGGAACTCACTCTGTAGACCAGGCTGGCCTCGAACTCAGAAATCTGCCTGCCTCTGCCTCCCAAGTGCTGGGATTAAAGGCGTGCGCCACCACCGCCCGGCAGCATGTGCTTCTTATTTTCCCCAGGTTCCCCAGTGGTTGAGCAATGACTGTGGTTGAATCTCAGAAGCAAAGACTGAACTATAGTTGACTAACTATAGTGAGCAGCTTCTAATTGAAGCCAAATCATTATTCTGATAAAGGAGCAGATTAATGGAATGAAGAAGTTTGAGAAAAATTGTCCCCAGACTAATTTTATTTTGGACTTTCAATACTTCTTCTACTCCAAGAGGCATCAAGCCCCCCTGTGCTGCATGATGAGTCCAAAGATAGCCTGGACTGAAGAGTAAGACCCTACTTCAAAAGCTAAAAACAGACTTATTGCTATTATTTTTAGTAACCTGATGGTTGATTGTTAATTGCATTTACTTTCTCAGGACATTAGAAAGAACTACTATTATTTTGAACCAGGGTCTTATGTGGCCCAGGCTGTCCTTGAACTCCCAATGTGTCTACCAAGGATTGAATTCCTGATCCTTTTGCCTCTATCTCTTGAATGGTAATATTACAGGTATGCACTGTCATATTTACTTTATGTAGTGCTAGGGTTGGTTTGAACTCTGGGATCTCATGCATGCTAGGCAAACATTCTACTGAGTATATATTCTCAGGCCCATCTGTGTGTGTGTGTGTGTGTATGTGTGTGCGCGCGTGTGTGTGTGCATGTATACATATATATGCAATACTCCAATGTTAAGATCCATTATCCATTCATTCAGTCTATAGATATTATTATTATTATATTTT